ATATATGAGATACTGCATGTATAATTACGTAATATATGGTACAGTATTATATATATATATGATAAATGCATGTAAATAATCCAGATCTATAGAAAGTATACTGTATAATACAGTGCATTTATTGTATATGGGATACTGTGGAGTATGCAGTGCGGTATCGTACTGCATATGTAATTTTGTAATATTTTATATAATACAGTACAGTATTATATATTCTCAGGCCTTTTTCTGAGGCTGCCAGGACCTCTTTTGGACCTCTTCCAAAGTCTAGCACACCTCATGCTTTGATGGGACTCAAAACCCATCGGCTCCTGGCTGAGCCTGGCCTCTCTCCCTACAGAAGAGATCACAGACTTAGAGGCAAGCCCTGCATGTCCGGCGGGTCAGGAAATGGAACAGTGTCAGCACCTGGGAAAGCCGGCTTCCCTTCACAGTCCCTCTGTCTTCCCAGAGCTCACGTGTCCGAGATCATTGGCACAGTTCCTGTCTCCTGGCGGTTTCCGAGGACCAGGAGCCCCGCCGTGGCTCAGCCACATTCTCCCTCACGGGCTGCAGTCAAGGGGTCTCATCTGGGGCTGTTCTGGAGAAGGGGCTTTGCGCGCTCACCTGGTCGTTGGCAGCGGGTAGCTACTTTCCGAGTGTCCGTGAGAGGCCCACTCTGGGGCGGCCGCGGCATGGCGTCTTCTCTGAAAGGGAGAGGGTCTCCGCACAAGAGAGGCATGATTTTAAGATTTTACTTATTTGACAGAGAAACAGCATGCGCTCAAAAGTGGGGCGGGAGGGGGGCAGAGAGGAGAGACGCTCGACAGACTCCGTGATGACCGCGGAACCCAACGTGGGCTCTTTTATCTCACAGCCCTGAGGTCATGACCTGAACTGAAGTCCAGAGTCGGACACCCGACCGACCGAGCCTCCCAGGTGCCGCACCGGAGAGGCATCATTAATCAGGGAAGTGACATCCCATGCCCACAGAACTCTGTGGGTTGAAAGCAAGACATAGGGTCCGTTGGCATGGCTGTAATTTCAAAGGGAAAAACAGAAGAGAAGAAGAAAGGAAGAATAATTGCTGGGGAGGAGGTGCAGGACTTGGAGCCCTCACTCGCCGCTGCTGGTGGGAATGGGACGCAGCAGCTGCTGGGGAGAGCCGTGTGGCGGTTCCTCGCGAGTTGAACAGTGGTCTGACTCAGGAGCTGCACCCCTAGACGCAGACCCGAGAGACCCGCGAGGAGGAGCTGCAGTCCTCAGGCGCACACGTGTACAGCAGCAGCACTCGCAATAGCCAGAAGGCGGAGACAACCAAAGAGCCATCAACAGCTGGACGGATGAGCAGAAAACAACCTGGGCAACCGTACGGAGCGTCCTCGGGAAGTTAAAATAGGAATGGCAGATAACCCGGTAATTCCGCCGCTGGGTGTTTACCCAGAGAAAGTGAAAACACTGATTTCCATGAAAGGATTTCAAGGTCCAGCATGGGGACCTTGGAAACGATGCTAAGTGCAAAAGAAGCCAGACGCAAAAGACCACACACATATCCCACGACTGCATTTATGCAAAATACCTAGAATCAGTAAATCTGTACAGACAGAACATAGGGGACCTTCAGAGCTGGGAGTGACTGGTACCGGGCACAGGGCTTCCTTCCGAGGGTGGTGGCAGGTTTTGGAGCTAGGTACTGATGATGAATGTAGGAGATGCCAGAGGCAGTCCCCAGGAGGTGGGGCTCCCGGGGTGGTGCTTCTTCGTGACACTTCGAGCCTGTGCTTGTCTTAGCCTCCGCGTCTGACCTTCGTGCTTCATCTGGGTCGGTTCGTCACTTACAGCCCACGTTAACGTTTTGGTTTTGCCGATAGTATTTTATTCTGGGCCTTTACCTTGGTCACACACGTTCTGTTTCTCTTCCTTTTTGCCTCTTTCCGAGGGGTGGTTTTAGACTTGTAACATTCCACTCTTTCCGTTACTTTGGAACTCCTACATTCTATTTGTGTTCTGCGGTTGCCAGAGAACTCGCAGCAGGCACACACATTATATCGTGGTGCCCGACGATCACCTCCAAGAGATCCAGGTCCAATTCCCTGGAACTTGCGAGTGTGGCCTTAGATGGCAAAAGGTTTTTGAACATAAGTTTAAGAATTTTGAGATGGGAGGGCGCCTGGGCGGCTCAGTCGTTGGGCGTCTGCCTTCGGCTCAGGTCGTGATCCCAGGACCTGAGATCGAGCCCCACATCAGGTTCCTTGCTCGGCGGGAAGCCTGCTTCTCCCTCTCCCTCTGCCCCTGCTTGTGTTCCCTCGCTCGCTGTGTCTCTCTGTCAAATAAGTAATTAAGGGCGCCTGGGTGGCTCAGTGGATTAAAGCCTCTGCCTTTGGCTCAGGTCATGATCTCAGGGTCCTGGGATCGAGCCCCGCATCGGGCTCTCTGCTCAGCGGGGAGCCTGCTTCCCTCCTCTCTCTCTGCTGGCCTCTCTGCCTCCTTGTGATCTCTGTATGTCAAATAAATAAGTAAATCTTAAAAAAATAATAATAATTAAAATCTTTTTTAAAAAATAAAAGAATTTTGAGATGGGGGGCATCTGGGTGGCTCAGTCATTAAGCGGCTAACTTCGGCTCAGGTGGTGATCCCAGGGTCCTGGGATCGAGGCCCTCATCGGGCTCCCTGGTCAGCAGGGAGTCTGCTTCTCCTTCTCCCACTGCCCCTGCTTGTGTTCCCCCTCCCACCATGTCTCTCTCTGTCAAATAAATGAATAAAATCCTTAAAAAATAATAATGATAAAATAAAAATTTATAGAGAATAAATTTGTGTTAAGTCACTAAGTTTGTGTTACACCAGCAATAGGAAACTAATACACCTACCGAAATCTAACGTTGATAAAAGCCTTGTGTGCCCCTGGATGAGACGAGGACTTAAGAGCACTTGACCGCCGTGCAGCCCTGACTCGGTTCTGACAGTTGTCGCTGTCTGTCTGGTGTCTCATGTCTCTTGAGGCTTTGTTCTGTGTAACCCCACAGACATACAGAATTAACGTTTGTGTTTACCGCTTCATTTGTTCATTCCTTCTTAGACCGCAGCTTCTGCCCGGGCTCATTCTCCTGCTTCAAGTACATTCTTGACTAGAGGTGCATGAGGCCCCGGGGTACAGAACGTCAGGAGGAGCTCCTGCTCAGGGTGTGCAGGGGCTGTAGTCTGGAAAACTTATTCTTAAAGATTTTCATTTGTTCATGAGAGACAGAGAGGCGGGGGGAGTGGGACAGGGAGAAGCAGGCTCCCCACTGAGCTGGGAGCCCGACGTGGAACTCCATCCCAGGACCCTGGGACCATGACCCAAGTCGAAGGCAGCCACCTAACTATCTGAGCCACCCAGGCGCCCTGGAGAATTTATTCTAACCTACTTTAAGTTCCCTACTTCTCTTTATGATTGTGTTCTGTCTGTTAAACTTATCCATTGGATTTTAAGTTTGTTTTTTTTAAGATTTTATTTATTCATTTGACAGAGATCACAAGTAGGCAGAGAGAGAGGGAGAAGCAGGCTCCCCGCTGAGCAGAGAGCCCGACGCAGGGCTCGATCCCAGGATCCTGGGATCATGACCTGAGCCGCAGGCAGAGGCTTAACCCACTGAGCCACCAGGCGCCCCAGGTCATGGGATTTTAACATCAGGAAATGATGTTCTCTTTTTGGCTAAACACCAAGGTATTTTTTTCCTCAGGCCTTATGTTTGAGGAAAGGAGGGAATTGTCCAGTACGCGTAGCCTTTGGGGGCCCAGTTTTAGGGGAAGAGTCACCTACTGAGCATATCACCTTATACTGGCTTTTTTTTTTTTTTTTAAGCCTGTGAGCCCATGAGGAAGAAGATAGTTTGCTAGTTTTGGCAAATACCTCAGGACCCAGGTAGTTTAGGTGTTGTGATAACCCCTCCCTCTCTGAGTTCTCGCCTTTACTTTGTTTTTGGCCTGAAAGTTCCTTATTATCTCGTTTGCTCATTGATGCTTTTAGGACCATTTAGCCTGGGTGTCCAGTGGGTTCAGTCGGAGAGCGCGCGCTTCTTGATCTTGGGGTTGTAAGTTTAAGCCCCACATTGGGTGTAGAGTTGACGTGATTAAAAACATTAGCTCATGCTAAACCTTAAGGAATTCTGAGAGCTCCACTATTAAAAATTAAACAAGGGGGTGTCTGGGTGGCTCAGTGGGTTAAGCCTCTGCCTTCAGCTCAAGTCATGATCTCAGGGTCCTGGGATTGAGCCCCGAGTTGGGCTCCTTGCTCCGCGGGGAGCCCGCTGCTCCCCCTGTTCCCCTGCTTGTGCTCTCTCCCTGACAACTAAATAAGATTTAAAAAAATTAAAGTGTATTAATTTACAAATAGTTTGTTAAAATACTGAAAGCTCTTTACTTTTTTTTTCTGAAAGCTCTTTACTTTCAAGTAGGTCACTATAGGTCACTACTATCCGTGTCCCTATCATCCGTGTGGACCTCTAGTGCGTCTTGCATTTGGACAGTGAGAATACAGCAGGGGCAGAAACTATACGTGTCTCCCTAGTTTTCCCTCCAGCGATCGCATTCGGTAACTCGACATCAGCCATCACAGCACCACGGAAACCGGCAAACGCTACAGATCAGCCCCTTCCTCCTGGGCCGGAGGGCCCGTCCTCAGACACTCACCAGCCCACGACTGTGTACAACTGAAATGCTTTCCCGAAAGGTCGTTTTCTTTTTTTTTTTTTAGATTTTATTTATTTGAGAGAGAGAGCGAGCCAGCCCACAAGCAGGGCTGGGGCAGGGGGAGAGGGAGAAGCGGACTCCCCGCTGAGCAGGGAGCCCGACTGGGGCTCCAACCCAGGACCCCGGGATCGTGACCTGAGCCGAAGGCAGACGCTTAGCTGACACTGAGCCACCCAGGCGCCCCCGAAAGGTCGTTCTGAGTTACACTTCCAGCACAAGTGTGTTAGATCTTGCCTCTTCATATCTTCTCCTGCTCAGTGTCCTGTTCAGGAGCATTTCAACATGCACGTCTTTGAGGATCACTGCAAATGTCTGTCCACCATCGGCACCGTGAGCTGCCCGTTTCTCCTTCAGCTTGGTCTTCTGCTGGGTCCACTGGCTCAAAAAAAGGTGTGGGGAGGGAAAAGAACGTGGAGGTGTGTCTTGTGTGAGGGAGGTGGGAACCCCTCCCCTGCCGTCTGTGACAGTATTTTTCTCCCAGTCCCCCCATGATGCTGTTCTTCCCTCCCCGGACCGGGCGCTTTCCTCTCTATGTGTCCCATGTGCCACTTTTCTCAGTGTCACTTTGAGGACGCCATTTAAGAAAAATATATCCGGGGCGCCTGGGTGGCTCAGTGGGTTAAGCCGCTGCCTTCGGCTCAGGTCATGATCTCAGGGTCCTGGGATCGAGTCCCGCATCGGGCTCTCTGCTCAGCGGGGAGCCTGCTTCCCTCTCTCTCTCTCTCTGCCTGCCTCTCCGTCTACTTGTGATCTCTCTCTGTCAAATAAATAAAAATCTTTAAAAAAAAATATATATATATATCCAAGTGCTCCCGGAAGGACCTGGAGCGCCGCGCATTCAATATTCGCGCGCGTGCGCGTGTGTGTGTGTGTGTGTGTGTGTGTGACACACACGCTCTTGATCTGACCCCATGTCCTCCCCATGGGTTCACAGTTGGCTCCTGCGCCAGGTGGATGTGCTGGACCCGCTGGGATACAGAGGAAGGGGCAGTAAGTGCGCTACTTAGGTTTCTGCAATGACTATGATTGATTTGGAGAAGAAATATCTAAACAAACAACCAAACGTATCCCCTCGTATCTCCTCGGAAGTGTGGGGTGTAGGCAAGGCTCCGGCCCCACCCACCTTGTCTGCTACACGACTCCCACCGCGCGGGTCCAGTGTCTGGCGAGGGCCTCTCACACGGGCCTCCAGGGCCCCCAGCAGGCCCCCTCCGGGGCCCCCTCCAGGGCCTTAGTCTGCGCAGGTCCTGGGCCCCGCCGGCAGGAGGCGCCGCTCCCTCCCCTTCCCCGAGGCTGGACCCTGCGGGCGGTTCGGGACGACGGTCAGGCCCCCGCCCCCGCCCCCGCCTCTCCGCGCTCGCGTGGGGTCCCAAGCCTGTCTCCGGCGCCGGGGATGGGCGCGACCTAGGGCTCCCCTCGACCGTGCAGGGCGCCCAGTGGGCAGCCAGGGGCGCGCCCGGGTCTGATGACGTGGGGTGCGCCTCAGAGGTGCCCGGACCCCTCGCCCATCCTCCCCCACCACCCGCAGACCCGCGCGCGCCCCCAGAGACAACACGCGCGGCCGGATGAGGCTTTCTGGCCGGGACTTTACTGGGACTCCGGAGCTCGCGGGAGGGGCGGCTGGGGTCCCGCGACGCCCCCTCCGAGTCTAGCGGTAGTTGGAGGCCAGCGCCGAGCTCACGTGGCTCAGAAACTTGTCCAGCGAGGCGTGCATGGCGGGGCCGAAGTCTCCGGGGTAGTGCCGGGCGAGGGTGACCAGCAGGCAGTGGCTCAGGAACTGCGGAGGGAGGGAGTCGTCCCGCCCGGAGCCGCCCTCCCCCACCCCCCGGCCTCGGCCACCGAGGGTCCAGCGCCCGCCCGCGCTCACCTTGAAGTTGACGGGGTCCACACGCAGCTGGTGCGCGTGCAGGTCGCTCAGAGCGGACAGCGCGCCCGGCAGGTCGTCCAGGTGGGCCACGGCGAGGGTCAGCGCGTCGGCCACCTTCTTGCCGTGGGCCTTGACCTGGGCGGAGCCGGGGCTCAGGTCGAAGTGGGGGAAGTAGGTCTTGGCGGCGGGGAAGGACACGAAGGTCCTGCGGGAGGAAGCGCGAGTGAGGTGCGGCCCGGGGAGGAAGCCCGGGGGGCGGGGGCACCCGGCGCGGCGGCGGAGGCGCAAAGCCCGGGAGCCGGAGGGGCGCGGGGCCCTGGTGGCCGCACCTCTCCAGGGCCTCGGTTGTGTAGATCCCGACGTTGCTCCCCAGCTTCCTCCAGAGCGCGCGCACCGCTGCCTTGTCCGCGGCGGACAGCGCCATCGCGGATCCTGCGTCCTGCCGCGCGCGCGCCCCGCGCCAGGTCCCTGCGCCTGCGCCACCGGGGGTCCCCGCGGCCTCCAGGGGGCGCCGCCGCCGCGTCCGCGCCGCACCCCTGCTCGCGGAGTCCGGCTGCGAGCGGTCCCGGAGCCTGGCACCCTCCCGGTGGCCATGGACGCCGCCGCCCCGTTCTCCTAGTGTTTACGGTCGGGAAAGTCATCACTTACTAGTATTAGGGGACACTGAATTGAATCATGGATTTTGACATTAACCCTCAGCTTCTTCTCCCTCCCTTCCTCCAGAGCCTATGATGACTCTATTTTCACATTTATGGTGTAAAATGAACATGAAAACGTCCTCTTCCCAAACTTGTGAGACTTTGGCGGGAAACCAATGTCATGAGCGGGGCTCGTAGCAATTGTTCTTTCAAGACAGAAAACAGGTATTAAATGCCTCGGATGTATCTCAAAAGTGATACCCGATCCCTGTGGGGCACCCACTCTGTGCCAGGCACCGCTCCGCGCATTAAAACAATTGCCGGTGGGGGTGCTCCTGGGTGGCTTAGTCGGTTACCCCGCCGGCTCTTGATCTCAGCTCAGGTCCTAATCTCAGGGCGCTCAGCTCAAGACCTGTGTGGAGCCTACTCAAAAAAAAATTTTTTTTGGTACAATTACTATAACATAAAATTACCATATTAGCCATTCTATTCTATTCTATTTTATTTTTGAGAGGGAGAGAGAGGGTGGACTGGCAGAGGAAGAGAGAGAGACTCTTAAGCGGGGCGTGGAGCCCAATGCCAGGCTCCGTCTCACAACCTTGAGATCATGACCTGAGCCGAAATCAAGAGTCAGATAACTTAACCAACTGAGCCACCCAGGTGCCACCCCCCCGCCATCTAAGCCATTTTGAAGTGTCTTTAACCACATCCAGTGTTGTGCAACCACCACTGTCACCATCCCAAATGGAAACTTTGTCCCCATTAGCAGTCACTCCGTCCCCCTCTCCTCCAGTCCCAGCAGCCTGGTCTTTGTCTGTGTGAGGTCGCCTATTCTGGACGTTTCATGTGAGTGGAATCACACATTCCTGTGTCTGGCTTCTTTCATTTGGCACCGTTCCCAGGGTCCTTCCTGCTCTAGGCTGTGTCCCCTGCTTCCAGCTCTTCATGACTGACTGCGTTTGGTTTACCCGTTCATCCCCTGGTGGACATCTGGGTTTTCCCACCTTGAGCCCAGGCCATCATTTTCATGATAACAAAAGAAAGAAGACTGCCTAGTACTGGGAGCTCATACTGTACCACCAGCTGTGCCACAAGTGTCCCCAGTTGAGGCAGAGGCCTGCCATCTCATTTTCCAAGGATGACTCTGGGACCCCAGGAAGAAAGGACATTGCTGTTAGCTGGGGGCTCGGCCCCCATGGCTGCCAGGACCAGACACGGAGGCGGCAGGGGGCTTGCTCTGAGGGCAGGGAGCACGCAGGAGTGCTGAGCCCCAGGACCTGGCTCTTCTCTGTTGCACGGTGTGTGTGTGTGTGTGGAGGGGGGTTAGGGGTGGTGGCCCCTGGGCTATGTAGTCAGTGCTGAGCTGACCCCCAAAGCCAGGCCTCCAGGTCCATATTGCCCCAGGACAGCACGCTCTTCACAGTGTGTGTCCTGGAAGTGACACCGGGAGAAAGCAGCACCACCAGGAAATTGCCTGGCATCTGGGATGGACTGCTCACCCCGATTTCATCTAGATTGTGTGTGTATTTGGGAAGCACTTGGCAGGTGGGGGGCATTCGGTGAGACTCCCAGGAGCCTGACCTCCGGTCTTCCCCACCGCCCAACTTCAGGGAGAGCAGTGGGAGAGCTCAGAGGTCCGGGCTGGAGGCCCATGAACTCTCAGACCAAGAGTGTGTCGTAAAACATAAAGGTGGAAAAGCAGTTAGTTCATTGTTCCAGCAAATCGCAGGAGCATCCACAAAGCTCCGGAATGAAATGGAGGACATGGCGAGCTCGCAGCAGAGCACTCCTGGCTGTGGGTGGGGAGCGGGAAATCCCAGGCAGGAGCAGCAGAACCGGCCCCACTGCCCCCCTCTGCGCCTGTCTTCCCTTCCCTCTCCTGGCCGCTGCGGACAGGTCCGTGATGCGAAGCGAGGAGAACCCCCGGCCTTCCCCCCATCCCGCACGTTCGCGCACAGAGAGAACCGAGACGCGCACAGGCTGCAGTCCACTCAGACTTTATTCAGAGATCGGGAGGTTGAGGAGAGCGGAGCGCAAGAGGGCCCCGGACCGGGAGCCCGAGCACCGCCGCCGCTTCAGCTTAACGGTATTTGGAGGTCAGCACGGTGCTCACGGCGCTGAAGAACTTGTCCAGGGAGGCGTGGACGGCGGGGGTGAATTCCGCGGGGTGGTGGCAGGCCAGGGTCACCAGCAGGCAGTGGCTCAGGAACTGCGGAGGGAGGGGACGTCAGGGGCCGTCGCGGGACGCGGCCGCCCGCGCTCCACCTTCGGGACCCCAAGGGACTCTCTGCCGGCCCCGCCCGCCCCTCGCTCCCGCCCCGTCCGCGCGCTCACCTTGAAGTTGACGGGGTCCACACGCAGCTTGTAGGCGTGCAGGTCGCTCAGAGCGGACATGGCTCCCGGCAGGTCGTCAATGTGGGCCACGGCGTTGGTCAGCGCGTCGGCCACCTTCTTGCCGTGGGCCTTGACCTGGGCGGAGCCGTGGCTCAGGTCGAAGTGGGGGAAGTAGGTCTTGGTGGTGGGGAAGGACGCGAAGGTCCTGCGGAAGGAAGGGGTGGGCGAGCCAGGGTTAGGCGAGGCGGTGGAGGACAGGCGCCGCGAGGGGCCGGCGAGCCCCGATCCCAACGGGGGAAGGTGGGGTCCTCACCTCTCCAGAGCTTCTCCGCCATACTCGCCCGCGTGGCCGCCAATCTTGTCCCAGGTGGACTTGACGTTGGTCTTGTCGGCGGGAGACAGCACCATGGTGGGTTCTTTCTGAGTCTGTGTGAGGACCAGAAATGTGCGGGGCGCGGGGAGCGCGGGGCATTAAATGCCTGGGGCGCGAGGGGCGCGCCCTCCCGGCCCGCGCTCATTGGCTGGCCCGGTGCCAGGAGGTGTTCCCGGCGAGCGCTGGCGGGGGTCCCAAGGCCGCCTTCACTCTCTCTGCCCCGCCCAGACCGGGATCCAGTTCTGTAGGGCACCTCCATTTCCTCTCCTGTGGTTCCGGGGAGCCCATACAGGTTCCCGACCCACCCCACAGGCTCCGGCTTTTGGCTCGGCACCTGGGGTATTTGCTGGTCGGGAAGGAGAGCACATTTTCCGAAGTGAAACAAGCTGCTTCCGCACCGAACTTTCCCCAGGACCAAGAGCTGTAGACAGTCCGTGTAAACAGTGGGGGTGAGGGAGATAATGTGGGATCAGGTGCTCCAAGCCCTCCTTCCCCTCATGGTGGGCAGGGATTCTTGGCCACCGTCGGGTAACAGGCGCAGGCACAGCCAGGTAGGGTGGGTAATTTCCCACAAGTCAGAGCTTACCCTCTGGCATTCTTCGGACTTGGGCACGTCCGGCCAGGTGGGGCTCAGTGCTCCCTGCGCCGGCAGAGATTTTCAGCAGGGAACCTTCCTCATTCAGAGTCAGGTGAGCTCCTGGGGTCCCCACTCCCTGGCCTCATTCCCTTGTCAGAGAAGGTTCTCCATAGAGTGCTAGGATTCCTGCCCCCCCCCCTCATGCCGCAGAGGGGAGAGACTGACCCTGGGGACTGGGTCTGGAGGTAAAGGAGAGGAACGCCTTGGTTGGGGGACCCGCAGAGACTGAAAGGAACGTTGTAGTGGAAGTTGGGGGACCCTGGGCCTGCCGGGTGCTGACCCTGCTTTATGGTCTAATAAATTATTTCAAAGAGCCAGCACGGCATCAGCTTTCTGTTTGTGTTTACGTCGGATGCATTAGGCTCAGACTGCTCCTGGACATGTCCGGTATCACAGAGCCGTTGTGTGGTCGGGGTGTCTGCCTGATCCTGGCGGTCAGGAGCTCGTTCCCCAGAACCCCGCCCCAGGAGATTCAGAGGGAGGGGCTAACTTGGCTGGGGCAATGTTCCCTGCAGACTGAGCGTCAAGGGGAGGGAAGAAAGAGAAGTCGGCGGGGTCCTGGCCCCTACCTCTGACCCCCCGCCAGGAACTTGACCCTTGGCCTCGGTGCCTGCATTTGTCTGCAAAAGAGGCGAGGAGTCCCGGGAGTGGCTCCCAGCGGGAGGGCATGGAGGGAGAACGGAGGAATGGGTGAATGCAAACGTGCTTTGTGAACGGTGTGTCACAGCGGGTGTGTTGGAAACGAACTGCACCCGGATAACCTCCTTCCTCTTAGCTCCCATTTGTCCCCTCCCCCCATTTCCCCATCACCAGAGGGGACTTGTTCTGTTCAAGGTTTTGGGGATCCACACCCTGTCCAGACCCGGGATTGTCAACCCTGGAACCGTCCCCATTTGAGTCCCTGGCCCCTGTTCCCTTGTGCGCAAAGGTCCGGGATCGCGCCCTAAGATTCCAGGTGGCTCCACACCCGACCCGGAGCTTTCTGGCCAGGCACAATAACCTCAGCCTACCCGGTCCCCAAAGACCACACAAGCGCACGGTCCCTCCGTTGGAGCCTGTTTATTGACATGCAGAGACGGAAGCCCGCGGGGCGGAGGACTCAGCGGTACTTCTCGGTCAGCACCACCGACACGCCCGTCAAGAATTTATCCCACGCCGCCTGCATCTCTACGGTGAACTCGCCCTGCAGGTGGGAGGCCAGCACCACCTGGAAACACTGGATCAGCAGCTGCGGGAGAAGGGGCGGATGAAGGGGCGCTGCCTTTGCCGATTCCCTCTCCAGCCCCAACCCCGGCTGCGCGCGCGCGCGAACCCTACGGGGGCCCGGGCGGGCTCACAGGGAAGTTGGAGGGGTCCACGCGGAGCACTTGCGCGTGCAGGTCGGCGAGCGGACTCAGGACCGCGCGCAGGTTGTCCATGTGTCGCACGGCCACGCCCACCGCCTCGAGCATGCGTTGTCCGTGGGTCAGCAGCTGAGTCTCGTCAGGGCAGAAGCCCAGGTGCTTGAAGTAGACCTTGGTGCTGGGGTAGACCGTGAAGAGCCTGACGGAGCAGGTGGGTGAGTGAGGAGGGCGGCCGCGTGGGGTCCTTCCCGCGCCTGCACTGCCCAGACACCCGGAAGCCCCCCACCTCGGCCCCTCCTCCGACTCAGGCCCCAAACCCCTGGCACCGCCCCCCTGCGATCCTGGAAACCCCGCCTCAACCCACCTGAGCAGCAGCTCCGCCCCAAAGGACGCCTCGTGGCCGGCGATCAGGTCCCAGACCTGCGCGACCTGGGCGCGCTCTTGGGCGCTGAGCATGGCGTTGGCGGGGCGTGCTCTGGGGGCCCCTCCCGCCGGGCCGGCCTCCTTATAGCCTCCCCACACCCCAGGCGCCCCGCCTGCCCTTATCTGCGGGACGGCGGCCGGAGCGCGGCGACCCTCGGCCGGCACCGGGAAGCGTCTCCAGGCTAGGTCCCTGTGGCCGCGGAGGCCGCCGCCCGGGGCGGGGGGTGTTACCCGCACGGACTCACGCGCTGTGCGTGCGCGCTTTTGCTGCAGACATCAGCAGGATCTGGAATAACCCCCGTGCGGGCAAAGTGAGGGCCTGTCCAGGAGACAGCCGGTGGAAGGACTGGGGAAAGAGCGCCGCGCAGGGACGGGGCGGGGGCGGGGGTCCTAGCATGGGGCCCAGCAGCGCGGGAGCTGTGACATCAGGCTGTGAGGAAAAGCCCCCCCGAGGGCGCACACGCCTGCAGCGCGCTGAGTAAAGCAACCGTTGGGCGATTTGGGCGGCAGGAGAGGAGCAAGCCCTCTCTGGCCTGAGAACCGCATGGGCCAGCCTGCGCTGCTTTGCCTCTCCCCGACTCGTGTGTAGGCATCGCCCCAGAGCATCCTTTCGGTGGCTTTAAGCCGGTGGTGACCCTGGGGTCGACCGCATTCCTGCAGCTCCCGCTTTCTTTCACTCCCCTCTTTCCCGCCAATACTGAGAACGCAAGAGCCACTTCCTCCTCATCCATTTATTGGAGAATCCGCGGAGGAATTATGGAAGGTTCAGGGGCAGGGAAGGGGCGGCAGCCTGCCCTCGGTCGGGCGGCTGCGCTCAGCGGTACTTCTCGGTCAGGACGGCCGACACGATGGACAGGAACTTGTCCCAGGCGGTGTGGGCGTCGGCGGTGAAGTCGGCGGGGAAGTGCGAGGCCACGGTGACCAGCAGACAGTGCGACAGGAGCTGAGGGGCGGGAGCGCGGCCCCGTGAGCGGCCGGTGCGGGTGGGGGTGCTGGGGGGGACGGAGACCCCGCAGCCCACACCCCGCGGCTGCCCGCGCCCCTCGCCCCCCCCCCCGGGACCCCAGCCCCGCGCCCACCTTGAAGTTGACCGGGTCCACACGCAGAATGTAGGCGTGCAGCTCGCTCAGCTTGGCCAGGGCGCCCCCGATGTTGTCGATGCTCTTGACCGCCTCGCCCAGGGCGGCCACCACCTTGGCGCCGTGCATGCGCAGGTGCGCGGAGCCCGGGTGCAGGTCGAAGTGCGGGAAGTAGGTCTTGGTCTGGGGGTAGCTGGCGAAGAGCCTGCGGGCAGGGGCGACAGCCACACCTGGTAAGGCCAGCGCGTGTGCGCCTCGGGCGCCAAGCTTACCGGGCCTTGAAAAGGCCAGCGGCCTGGAGAAGTCATACTTGAAGGCAGCATTTCAAGACATAAACATTAACGCAAACCATTCACGTTGAATACGATGTTATAATTTTACACAAGGACGGGATCCCCATTGCCGCTTCCCCTCTTACCCCAGGCTCAGACAGGGCACGGTGGAATCCCACCCTCACCGTCCCCTCGCTGGGCAACCCGTTCATTCCTTCACTGATTCCTTCCAGCGATGTTTGTGGACACCTGGGCGCTGGGCCCAGCGCAAAAGACAGTCTCACAGCCACGCGCCCTCTCCGTCCACCTCCTCTTCCTGCTCCCCGAGTGTCGTCCCCCTCCTCCGTGGTCCCTCCGTGCTGGGCCCTGTCCTCCCTAACCCCACACTGTGTCCTCCCTGGCTCTGTGTCAGCCCACGGGACGCCCACTCACCTCTCCAGGGCCTGGGTGCCAATGGCATCGGCCTGGGTGGAGATCTTGTCCCACATGGACAGGATGACGGTCCTCTCGGCCTTGGTCAGAGACATGGTGGTAGTGGAGCTGGGCATGCTCAGGACTAGCCTCTGTGGGGCTCACCCCCCCAGGATCCCTTTATACACAGGGAGGCTGGGTGGGGGCCAGGCTGTGGCTGTTGGTCTGGAGAGGGGACAGGGCTGTGGGGGTGGGGTCTCTTATCAGACCCAGCGAGGGTGGGTGGTCAGGGCCTGGTGGGCTGGCGGGGTGAGGGGCTCTCACTCCACCTACTCACACCTACTCGAGGCCTTGGAGGGGGTGTTGGCCACAGCCTGACCAGCGTCCTGGAGAGATAGGGGCCCAGCTAGCCCATGAGTCTCGGCTTGTGTTTGTAGACCAGCTCTGACCCACCCCCTTCATTCCAGAATCACAGGACGGGGGAAGCCGGGATCAGCTCAGCACACAGCACCTTGGGCTGGGACATGCGGTTTCTGGTGGGGAGAAAACTGAGCCGCCCCGTGTCTGTGGCAGCCACGACCTGCTCCCACCTGCAATGTAGAAGGGACCGCTGGCAGAGTGTGGTCAAAGACTTGGAACGGCATACTTTATTTTTAAAAAGATTTTAGACATTTATTTTAGAGAGTGAGAGAGTGCACACATATGTGAACGGGGTCGGGGGAGGGAGGGGGGAGGGAGAGGGCCAAGCAGAGGGACGAGCAGACTGCACACTGAGTGCGGAGCCCGTCTCGGGGCTCAGTCGACAGCCCTGAGATCAGGACCTGAGCCGAAATCAAGAGTCAGTCGCCCAGCGCCGGAGCCCCCAGGTGCCCCTGGAGTGCCCTGTAAATGAGGGAAGGTGTGA